GTACTTGACAATCACACAAATGGAGATTAGTTTTGCAGTACAGACATTGAGCCAGTTCATGTAGAGTCCAAAACAATCTCATATGAATGCAGCGTTAAGAGTGGTCAAGTATATCAAAGGAGATATTAGGACTATGAGTGCTTCTACATGCAAAGCCAGTTGACAGATTGACTGCCTACTATGATGCAAACTGGGCAGTCTGCCCTAATACTAGGAGGTCTGTGATAGGGTATGTTGTCAAATTAGGGAGCTCTCTAATCTCCTGGAAATCTAAGAAGAAACAATAATCTCAGGTTAATCAGTGATTCTAGGGGATTCTTCGTGCAATTGAAGGAAAATTCAAGAAAATCTACTCAATTTTAGAAGCATTGAGCCCTAATTCTGCACTTTTCAGTGGCGATTCCTTAAAATTCAACTATTAACAGGAATAATGGAGCTAAAACGAGCATTGGAGCAGTTACTAGCTCAGTTGTTCTCGATCACAACCATCCTCTTTACCTGCACCCATCTGACGGTCCGGGATCTATGTCGGTGGGACTCATCTTGACAGGAATGGAGAACTACTCTCTTTGGAGTCGTGCAATGAAGGTTGCACTATTAGGTAAGAATAAATTGTGTTTAGTTTACGGATAACATCAAAGGAAGATTTTGGTTCCAATTTGGGAAGTCAACGGGATCGATGTAATGTCATTGTGACTTCATGGCTTATGAGCAATGTAAGCAGAGAATTGGTAACATGAGTGCTATTTTCTTCTAATGCACAGAAGGTATGGATTGCATTCAAGGAGTGATTTGACAAAGTGAACGGATCGAGGTTGTACTACTTGCACAAGGAAATATTCACCCTAACATAGGGGATTTCGTCAGTGTCGACTTATTTCACCAAGCTGAAAGATCTCTGGGCAGAATATGACTCGATACTGCCACCTCCTCCATCAGCTATAGAGTATGTTGATCAATTGGAATATCAGCGGCTGTTGTAGTTTTTGATGGGATTGAATGATAATTTTGAGCAAGCAAGGATCCAAATCTTATTGATGTCGACCTTACCATCTATCAATAAGGCTTATGCTATGGTAGTTCAGGATGAAAGCAGAAAGTTGATTACTGGTGGTACATATGGGCAAGCTGGCCATAATGACCCTACTGCCTTGTTTACTGCCCATTCCACATCTAGACCAAGGAGAAACTATAGTTTAGAATGTGATTTTGCCATTTGAAGGTCATACTAGAAATGAATGTTACAAACTAATGAAGTGTGAATTTTGTAACAAGACAAGGAATTTAAAGGAGAATTGTTACAAGATTGTTGGATATCCATTCAAGTAGAAGAAGAAAGCAAATGTAGTCACGGTTGATACAACTGGACAGCAAGGATTGACAATCCCACCAACTGCATATCAACCAAACAGCAATGTTGAACCTGCTCAATACTTCACTAAGGAAAAGTAGAATCAGTTGCTGCAATTGCTGAATAAAAGTTCTATTGGAGAAGAAAGTGCCAACATGGCAGGTAAATGTTTTCGTGGTAATGTAGCATTATGTGAAAACTTAGAACTGTGTAAGTGGATAGTTGATACTGGTGCTACTAACCATATGACTGGTGATAAAAGTTTGCTGAAAAATGAAACTTCAGTAGGAAATTCAGGGCAAGTTCAACTGCCTACAGGAGATTCATCACCAACTTCTCATATGGGAGAATGTCAGCTTACTGGAGGTGATGTACTGAAAGATGTGCTATGTGTGCCAGCTTTTAAATTCAATCTCATGCTAGTTTCAAAAGTGACAGAGGATCTCACATGTAGTGTTACTTTCTTTCCTCAATGTTGTGTGTTTTATGACCTCTTGTCTGGGAGGGTGAAGGAGATTGGTAAAAAGGAGGAAGGTTTATACATATTATCAGCAGCATTAAGGAAGACAATAAATAGAGCCTTTGCAGTAACAAGTAAAGCAAGCATGGAGATATGGCATAAAAGAATAGGCATGTTCCAATTCAAGTTCTCAGGAGGATTCCTAGCCTACAAGATTTTAGTGATAGCTTACATAATAATCCATTGTCTAAATGTGAAATTTGTCCTTTAGCTCGACAAACTAGAGTGTCATTTCCAACTAGCACTAGCAGAAGTTTACATAGTTTTGATTTGATTCATATGAATGTGTGGGGACCTTATAAAGTTGCTACTCACAATGGAATGAGATACTTTCTCACATTAGTTGATGATTTTACCAGGTGGACTTGGGTGTTTCTTATCAGACTTAAAACTGATGTTATTTTCTTACTTAAGAACTTCATTACTATGATCAAGACACAGTTTGGCAAATAAAGTAAAGCGTTTAGATCAGACAATGGTAGTGAATTTTTTGACAGTACCTGCAAAGACCTATTTCAGCTGCATGAAATTGTCCATCAAAGTTCTTGTCTATATACTCCTCAACAGAATGGAGTTGTGGAAAGAAGACATAGACATATACTTGAAACTGCTCGGGCAATCGGATTTCAAGGCTATTTGGCTGTCAGATGTTGGGGGCACTGTATTGATGCTGTTGTATACATTATTAACAGGACTCCTTCTTCTGTTTTGGCACATAAATCACCCTATGAACTACTCCATGGTAAGCCACCTTCACTGGCACACTTAAAAATCATTGGATGCCTGTGCTTTGCTACTAACTTGACAAGCCATGATAAATTTGCACCTCGAGCTGTGAGGTCAGTGTTGCTGGGATATGCTGCACATCAGAAAGGTTACAGACTATTGGACTTGGAAAATAGAGTGTTCTTTATCAGTCGAGATGTAGTCTTCTATGAAGACATGTTTCCTTTTCATACAGCTGAAAATTCATCAGAATCATTATTCCTGGATACAACTCCAGTGCCAAGACAGGATTTCATTATAGAACCAGTTGCAATAGAAAGTTCTGTTAATGCATCTAGTGTGCCATGCTCACCTTTTATAACTCCTATTCCCTTAGTTGAACAGAACATTCCTTCTTCTGCTGAGCATAATAATGTTGATATCCCAACTGATTCTTCTGCTGAGCATAATAATGTTGATATCCCAACTGATTCTTCTACTACTTCTCATGTTGAGGAAACAAGGAAATCAACTTGAGTGTCTAAGCCTCCAATATGGCTTAAGGATTATGTTAGAAATGAATGGTTAAATTCTGTATGCTGCTGCAGATATCCCATTTCAGAAGTTATTGGGTATGAAGCAATCTCTCCAAAATATCAAAGCTATTTAGCTAACTTTTCCGTTAAAGTGGAACCTACAACATATTCAGAGGCAGTTAAAGACAAGCGATGGGTAGAGGCAATGCAGGCAGAAATTATAACACTGGAGGATAACAAAACTTGGGAATTGGTGTCCTTGCCACAAGGACAGAAGGCATTAGGATGCAAGTGGGTTTAACAAATCAATTATAAGGCATCAGGAGAGATAGAAAGGTTCAAAGCTCGATTAGTAGCCACAGTATATAATCAAAGGGAATGACTAGACTATCAAGAAACTTTTTCCACTGTGGTGAAAATGGTTACTGTTAGGAGTGTGTTGTCTATTGCAGCCTCAAGACATTGGTCCATCCATAAAATGGATATTTATAATGCCTTCTTGCAAGGTGATCTAACTGAGGAGGTGTAAATGACAATGCCTCAAGGTTTCAATAGATCAAATGGTAAGTTTACAGTTTGTAAACTGCTCAAGTCTTTCTATGGACTTAAGCAGGCATCTAAACAGTGGAATCTCAAGTTAACTTCAGCCTTGGTAGATGCTGGTTTTCAGCAGAGTCATTTGGATTATTCCTTGTTCATCAAAAGAGCAGCAGATCACATGGTTGTAGTCTTAGTCTATGTTGATGATCTTCTTATCACTAGTGATAGTCATGTATTGATTCAATAGACCAAGGATAATTCACAAGCTTCATTCAAGATAAAGGACCTAGGAGAGCTTAAGTACTTCATAGGCATAGAATTTGCCAGAAATGGTGATGGTATATTAAAGCACCAATGCAAATATGCGCTAGAGCTTATTGCTGAGTTGGGGCTCTCAGGTTCCAAGCCTGTAGCTTGACCTATAGAACCCAATGTGAAGCTTACAACTGCTGAATTTGATACTCATACATGATCATCTGATGATATGTTGCCGACTGACCCTGGGCCATATCAAAGGCTCTTAGGAAAACTACTTGTTGACCATCACAAGGCCAGACATTTCATTTGTTGAGTCTCAGCCAATTCATACATAGTCCTAAAGTTTCTCATATGGAAGTTGCACTCAAGATGGTCAGGTATATCAAAAATAGTCTAGGATTGGGGGTCTTTTTTACTGCTCATTATTCCGAGTCACTCTCAGCATTTTGCGATGCAGATTGGGCTGCATGTCCTAATACACGCAAGTTAGTTACAGGATACTTTGTTGATATCTTGAAAATATAAGAAATAATCTACCATTTCTAGAAGCTCAGCTGAAGCCGAATATCGCAGCCTCGCTTCAACTGTTGCTGAGGTTGTGTGAATTCTTAGTCTACTCAAGGAGCTGGGGGTTAAGCATCATTCGCTGTGCCTATCTACTGTGATAGCAAGTCAGCTCTTGCCATTGCTGCCAATCCTGTCTTTCATGAGTGCAAAAAACATATTGATATTGATTTTTATTTCATCCGTGAGAAGATTCAACAGGGCCTCATCTCCGCTCTCTATTGTGCTACAACAGAACAAGAAGCTGACATTCTTACTAAAGGACTTGGTCGACCTCAACATGCATACTTGATGTCCAAGCTAGGACTTCTGAACATTTTTCCCAGTCCTAACTTGAGGGGGGTGGGTGTAAAGGATGTAGTTAATTTTAGTTAGTTAGTTAACTTAACTACAGTTAGATTACAGTTAGTATAATAGTTAATTCAGATGGCAAAGATTAGGCGGTTAGTTTTAGTTATATACAGTAGCTTGTCCCTTTCATTTGGCACTGTATAGAAATAATAGAGCAAAATCAACACCTCTAGAGATGAATCAAAAGCCTACCACAGCAGAATATGATGTTCATGTGGGAAAGCTAGGAGATCCAGATTTAGAAGACATTACTGCATATCAGAAGATGATTAGGAAGCTCTTGTACTTGACAATCACACGATCGGACATTAGTTTTGCTGTACAGACATTGAGCCAGTTCATGCAGAGTTCAAAACAATCTCATATGGATGTAGCCTTAAGAGTGGTTAAGTATATCAAAGGAGCACCAGGTCTAGGAGTGCTTCTACATGCAAAGCCAGTTGGCAAATTGACTGCCTACTGTGATGCAAACTGAGCAGCCTGCCCTAATACTGGGAGGTCTGTGACAGGATATGTTGTCAAATTAGGGAGCTCTCTAATCTTATGGAAATCTAAGAAGCAACAAACAATTAGCAGGAGCTCAGTAGAAGCAGAATATAGAAGTATGGCAGTTGTAACAGCAGAAGTCACTTGGTTATCAGGCCTTCTTGAAGAACCGAGAATACCAATTTCCAAACCTATCCAATTATTCTGTGACAACAAGGCAGCTATTCAAATTGCTTAGAATCCCATATTTCATGAACGCACTAAACACATAGAAATAGATTGCCATTTTGTACGACAGAAAATCAAATCTGGGCTCCTTACACCACACCATGTCACTTCTGCTCTACAACATACATACTTGCTCACAAAGGGTCTGTCAACAGCTCAACATCACTCACTAGTTTCCAAGCTTGGAGTGTTGGATGTCTTCCAACCTCCAGCTTGAGGGGGAGTATTAAAGTAGGGGTATCGTATTTGATATATTAGCCTATTGCTAGTTATGTTACTTAATGAGGGGTATTTTAGTCTTTTCTATCATTCTTACACACGTGACTCGTGTGAGTGCATTGTATAAAAACAAGTACTCTGTATTAGCAGAGTCGGTTGCTTCATAACAGATATGATCTTCTTCTTCATTCATCTTCTTCTCTCAATCATGTTCACTCTTAATTACATGCAATTGTGAATTCTTCTAGATCTGTACTCAAATTTTCTCAATAGCAATAAGCTAGATCTGTTTGCAAGCTTCTTTCATACCATAAGTAACTTGATCATTGAAAAAATTAGTTGGACAAATTAGTTGGACAGACGAATTCACGTCTTTTACAATCAACAAATTCCTCCGTTTATAGAGCTCATACAAGTAGCCCCTTAATGAAAATATTCTATAATCTAAGTTTCGAGCTTAAAATATTTTTTTGCTAAAAAGACGCCTACAATTTATCTGCACCTGCTGGAAAGGTTAAAGCATTATATTTATTCTTATACGATAAGAATGTTTTCTCTATTGTAGAGAGGATACACTACAAAAATCTCAATAAAACACGAAAGGAAAGTTGTTTCCATCCCACCCTCCTGTGTTTCAAATAAAAAATAAAAAAGTGATCTTTTATGTTTGAGAGTATGTTCAAAGTAATCCGTTAAGTATGTACTGAGCAGTTTTTATCCTTTAAATTTATCAAAGGTTAAAACCTTCGATCATCGTCAAATATTTAATGAAATATGTATGTTAGATTTAACGAGACTTGTGAATTTTTTTTAAAGGGAACTCACATTGAGAGGTATAATTATTGTAGTTTATGTTACTTTTGATATATTTCTAGAGTCTTCAGCTTTTTGAGGTGTGATTTTTACTATTTTTTGCATCTTTTTGGTGTCCTGTGCAACTTTTGTATTGCATTTTTTAAGATTTGATGGACTGTGGTGGTGTTTAAGGTTACTTAGGTTAAGTCTTTCTTTTTTTTCCTTTCTATAGTTTCCGTCAAATCTAACGATCATAAATTATTAAGCATTTGATAAAATAAACTTAAAAGGATTAAATTAATCGGTGCATATTTACGGGACTACTTTGAAATCAATATTTGTCATTTTCTTTGTCAAATTACGATGCCAGTGTTATTTGGATCTTGTTTATCTCGTAAGTCAAAAAAAAAGTCTTACAACAAAAATAATAACACCTCAAACAAGTTACTAAAATAATGCCTTAGATTAGTTAAATTAAATTAATAAATTAATCAGTTGCTGGATTTGCATTTCATATAAAAGTAAAGTGATATATGGAATGGGCTGAACTCAAAAAGGGATATTCGGGCCAAGAAAATAATACGGGTCTTTGCAATCGGATCAATAGACACTTGATGATCACAGGCCGAGTCAGGATCTGAAGATTATGAATTCGGAATTTTAATTTTTTAAGTTATTAAATTTTAAAATAATAATTAAAACATATTTCGTGAATTTCACAAAAGAAACATAGAGTCTATACAAATTCGGCCGAAACAGAAGCGAAGTGCTAGCTCTGCCCTATTCATGACGTGTCAATCTTGATTTTGCTTAAGCAAGACATACCCTCGGCCTAATGACTTCGTTTACAACTTGCGTGCAAAGACTCATCAAATATTTTCATGCTGCTGTTATTGCTACATAAATTTCAATGTCTTATAGACAGAAAAAGCAGTAAAATATAAAGATATAATGCTCAAGACTATAAGATAATTAGCAATTTCATTTCATGAGTCTCTTTGGAGTGTTGATTTCATCCTCACAGCTTATATTGGAAAACAAATCTTTGCATAGCTCACCATAGAATCTGCACACCAAGTCAATAAAGACAGGACTTTTCAGATTTTTCCAACAGTATAGCAATTCTTCTACATCCATTAAATCACTCATTTTTCCCTCTTCAGCAATCATTTCAACCAGATAATTCTCAAAACTTCTGCATGCATCTTCCACATCATTTTGAATCATTAGTACTTCTCTTTTAGTAGCTCCACTCAATCTCACATAAGCTGGAGTTATTGGTGATGGCATTGGTGCTTTGATATGTCCTACACCGCAAAAAAAAAAAAAAAAATCAACACAGTTTTAGCTAGTAACTCAAATCAGTGGCGGAGCTATAATTTTCTAAGAGGTATCAAAACAAACGAATTTAAATACACCGTAAAATCAAAGGGAGTTAATGTGTAGAGTAAATATACATAAAATAAATTAAATTATCTAGCAATACAATGTAATTTTCCAGCAAAGGAATGTCGATTGACACCCCTTGGTTGAATGTGGCTCCGCCACAGACTCAAATTATTGGGTCAAAACAGGCCAAAATCAGCGAGCCTAGATTTGAAGCTAATGGGTTCATGATTCTATTTTTTAAGTTACTGAGTTTTAACTCAATAATTAGTATTAATTTTTATGGATTTTTTTTTAGACAAATCCAAAATTAATATGGACCAAAGTAATTGGGTTCGGTTGAACGCTCCTCCTAGCCAAAATATATAGTGTAATGACGGGTTAAAATTTAAAAGAAACCACAAATATACAAAATCAAATATGGAGTGTAAATTTAGAAGAACTTAAGCTAATAACTTAGAGAAAAATGCATTAGTTTTCACACGTGTTTCAAAGTGCAAAATAAAAATAGAAGGGGAAGTTGGATTATGTTGAGCGAGTTGGATTTTTGTTATTGACCCTTTTATTAATTTGACCCGTTTTGATTCGTCGAAATTATTTGCTCATTTGTCACCTCTACGTACCTGCATCACAGAAATTCTTGAGCTCCATGACTTGGTCCCCCTCTCTTGGTTGTCTTCTTATTGAACGAAACACTGATAAAACTTCTGAAGCTTGTTTTCTACTACAAGTGTCTTTATTGCTTTCACATCTTGAAGGTCGAAATCTAAGCCTTTTTATAAAGAGGGGCTTTCTTAGTTTGAACTTGAACAGCTTTAGTATTTTCTTGCATGGATTAAAGGGCTTGAATTTGAAGCAACATAAAGCGTTAACTTTCATTTTGAATACTGAGGGTAAATAAGGAGAATGATGGTTTTTGGCTTATCTGATCTTGCTTTCAGTTTGGAATTGACATGACAACTATCAAATTTGTGTATTAAAGGGCACTCTTTTTTTCTTTTCTTTTTTTAATTTAAGGTGGGGGAGAATAATATAATGAGTTGTGGATTACACGATGTTGAAGGAAAAAAGGTGGTATACCACGAAAGAAATGTTATCAACTCTTAATGGTTGTTAAGAAACGAAAGAAATATACACTAGCTAATAATAAGAATTTATAAATTACGAGAGCATGATTTATGTAGATGTAAAGTTGTCAATTGATCGTGTCGATGCAGATAAAATAACGGGTGAAATTCAAAAATAGCGAGATTTATAAATGGTAATTGAAAAATAGCTACAGTTTCAAAAGTAATCAAAATTTATCCACTTTTACATGTAAAGATAAATTTGAACGAAAACACTGTTCAAAATCCGAAAAATATTCCAGCATAATATACTGGAGTTCGAATTCTTTACATGTGAATTTCCAGCATAATATACTAGTCCAACATAATATGCTAGATTCATACAATGGTGCTCCAATCTCTAGTATATATGCTGGAACTTTTAGTGTGCTAGAGTTCCAGCATAATATGCTGGAAGTTCATACACAGGTATACTAATCTCCAGTATATTATGCTAAAACTTTCTGTGTTGCAGTAAAATAATGGTTGTTTTTAATGACTTTGCAAACACTGACTATTTTCCGTGCTATTTTCACGAAAATAACTACGTTTACGTACTATCCAGCTATGTTCATTGCAAAATTCTGTCTTTGGACTTCAATTGGATGGACTGAACCTCTTTTTTCCCCCAAATCTTATGAGCCTTCAAGTTCTTCCTTCAATTGGCCCAACATCTTTTTCCTAGACGAATGTGTTGGTTATGTTATCGGGAAAACTACACAATATAATCGCTCTAAAAAATGATAGCCGGTAAAATCTATATTTTTGTGTAGTAATGTCTTACAAAAAATATATATTTGTATATTTTTGTGTATATACGTATATTTTGTATATATTTTTTTATATTGACTAGTAGATTTAATTATTTTTGGCTGACCGACCAATTGTGTAACTTGACCAATATTTTCAGTCCTAGTCCATATAATCCTGGGCCTAATAGCTTGCAGCAGTGAGATAAGAGTTGAATAATAGCATTTTTGTGGGATTTGCAGCGGTACACACTTTTTATGCCACCTTTTAACCTATACCCTGTTTTTAAAAATTATTAATTTCGTAACCAACTAACAGAAAATCCGTGTTAATATGACCATTATACCCCTTCCAAAACATATAAAAGTGTGTCTCTCCTCCGTATTCACAGATTCAAATTACAGATCTCCTCCGTATCTCCTCCATCAGTCAGTTCCTCCTAAGAACGCGTCTCGTATTCAAATTCAAATTCAAATACATTGTAAGTATTCAAATTCATCTCCAGAATTCAAAATAGTTTTTGAATTATATGTTTTCTGGTTGTTTGACGAATTTCAGTGAAGGAATATAAATTCCATATTCAAATCAAATTCATCTCCAGAATTCAAAATGTTTTCTGATTAATTCACTGAATTCTAATTTAATGTGTGATATGTTAGTAGAACTTAGCCGTAGGAGCTGAAGTTTTAAGTAATAACTTAAAACCTTCAGAAGGAGGCTGAACTTTTCCTTCTACACTAGCTAAATTTTTGCACTAAAAAAACTTCGGCCAAGCAGCTGAAGTTTTTTTGTTATTACTCAAAAACTTCAGCAGGAGGCTGAAGTTTTCCACATACACTGGCTAAATTAAAAAAACATATTGCACTAAAAAAACTTTCTGCCAAGCAGCTGAAGTTTTTTTTTGTTATTACTCAAAAACTTCAGCAGGAGGCTGAAGTTTTCCACATACACTGGCTAAATTAAAAAAACATATTGCACTAAAAAAACTTCGGCCTAACAGCTGAAGTTTTTTATTTATTACTTAAAAACTTCAGAGGGAGCCTGAAATTTTCCTCCTATACTGGTTAGATTAAAAAATGATATTGCCCTAAAAAAACTTCGGCCAAGCAGCTGAAGTTTTTTTGTTATTACTCAAAAACTTCAGCAGGAGGCTGAAGTTTTCCACATACACTGGCTAAATTAAAAAAAACATATTGCACTAAAAAAATTTCGGCCAAGCAGCTGAAGTTTTTTTGTTATTACTCAAAAACTTCAGCAGG